CTTTTACAATGAATTGCAAATGGTGAATTGTGAAATTCTGATGATTTGATTTGATCACTCTTAAAATCACCTTGGATATATGTTTCATTTGCAGGAGATGTTTTTAAATAGTTACTAGACTATTAGGGCTCTATTGCTTCTGAAGCCAGGTTTGGAAAGTTATTCTCTAAGAATTTGTCCACTTCATAACAGTGGATATCTGTGTCTTTCTCTCTCTCTCTGCCTCTGTCTCTGTTTCTCTCATCGTATCAATCTCATCTAAGATTTATATATTTTCTTAATCATTTAGAAACCAACTTCTCACATTGTTGATCTAGTCTATTTTTTTCATTATTATTTACCTACCATTATCTATGTCTTTTCTTTAGGTTTATTTCTATTTCTTTTGAGAACCTAAAGTTGGACATTTATCTCAATGACTTTCAGCATTTGTCCTTTTCTAATATAATCATCTAAAACAATAAGTTTTCACTGAAGCTCCCCTTTTGCTGATACCACAAATTTTTATATGTAATATTTTCATTTTATTTAGTTCTAAGTGTTTTTAAAATTTACATTATGATTTCTTCTTTGGCCTATGACTTATTCTAAAATGCTTTTTTTTCATTTCTGAATATATGAAGATTTGTTGATTGATTTATAATAATAACTTTTACCTTAATTGATCCGAGATAAGAGAATATGGTGTATATAAAACTATCCTTTCAATTTTGTTAAACTTTGATTTATGGACTAGTATAAGACCATGTTTTTTAATTAGGAAGATGTGGATTTTCTATTTGACCAAAAAACTCTAAAAAAAATCAAGTAATACAAAAAAAGTTCTATATACGTGCATTAGATGAAACTTGACGTCTGTGCTGCTCAAACTTCCATGTGCTTGCTGATCTTTTTCTCTGCTTTATTTCTCAGTAGCTGATAGGAATGTATTGAAATATTCCTCTATGATCGTTGTTGAAAATCTCTCCTTTAGCCTTTATCAAAAATGTCTCTGTATATTTTGAGGCTATTCCATTAAACACATTTACAGTTTTTGTATTTTCATGGCAAGTTGAAACTTTTATCATCAGGCAGCAAATGCCTTTTTTTTAGCCTTTAACTAAGACTAATATGAAGACACCAGAACTTTTTTCAGTGTGTATGTGTATATTTGACTGATCTATCTTTTTCTGCTTTTCATTTTCAATTGTTCTATGCTTATGTTTCAGCTCTACCTCCCATAAGCAGCATCTGGCCAAGTTTTGATCTTATCTGACCATTTCTATACTATAAATAGCAAGTTGAGTCCGTTTTGCTTTTTGTGATTATTGATACATTTAAACTTGTTCCTTGGATTTCACCTTGTTTTCCTACTTGGTCTGTTTCTTATTTTCACTTTGTGAAGCTTTTTAAAGTTGTTTTATTGTATTTTTTTTTCCATTCTTTCTCCCTGTTGTTTTGAATTCACACATTTCAGTTTTGTTCCTTTAGTGGTTATCCATGAAATAGCAACATTGTGAATAAATAAGTGAATAAATCTATATTGAACAATTTTGACCCCTCAAGGAAAACAAGACCTCAAGACAGCTTTAGATTTTTTTTAATGTTTCTTTATTTTGGGAGAGAGAGTGAACTGGGGAGGGGGAAGGGTAGAGAGAGAGAATCTCAAGCAGGCTTCACCCTATCAGCGCAGAGCCTGACATGGAGCTCTATCTCACAACCCTGAGATCATGACCTGAGCCAAAATCAAGAGTCAGTCACTCAACAGAATAAGCCACCCAGGTGCCCCAAGACAGCTTTAGTTTTAATCACTGTAACTTATATACTGTTAACGCCCAATATTTTGATTCTATATTTTGCTTAGTTTCTACTATTCACCATTTCATGGAGACTTTTTTTGTTTGGACTTAGATTTTATGTTTGCCATATTGTGTCATTTGTTTAGCGTATCTCCATGTATAACAAACCATCTTCCTGAGATCATTTTTTACTTTATAAAGTATGTTTTTTAGAGCAGGTCTCTAGATGACATATTCCATCAGAGTTTTTTTCTTCCTTAGTTTTTGTTCCATAGGATGTCTTAATCTTCATCCTTGAAAGATTGTTTTGCTACACTCAAACTGTAGTCTGACATTTATTTTCGGCCGATATTTTTAGAACTTTTTTTTGATACATTTAGAATACCATTTTCAGGGTTCTAGGGTTGCTGTTGAGAAGATCCTTTCAGGGTGCCTGGGTGGCTCAGCTGTTGGGTGTCCAACTTGTGATGTGACCCCAGATCTTGATTCTGGGGTCATGGGATTGAGCCCCACATAGGGCTACACACTGAGTATGGAACCTGTTTAAGATACTCTCTCCCCCTCTCTCTCTCTCTCTTTCCCTTTGCCCCTCTCTCTCACTCACACTCTCTCTCTTTCTCCCTCAAATAACACAAAAAAAAGGTCTTTTCATCCTAATTGTCTTTTGTTTTTATTTTTGCTTGTGATTTGTTATTTCACTCTGGATATTTTTAAATCCTTTTGGCTTTGGTATTCTGCACTTTCACTGCTGTATTTCTAAGGCATGGATTTCTTTTTATTTACTCTCCTTGAAATGCAACATGCTCCCCAGATGCGTGGATACACGATTTTCTTGGAATATCATAGCCATCACCTTTTAAAATATGTTTCCTCTCCTTTTCCCCAATTATTATCCTTTGGACTTCAAAGTAGATATAGGTTATACTTTCTGATTTTATCCCCCATGTCTTTTGATTTTTCTGTAATGATTTCCATCCTCTAACCTCTCATTGCAGCATTATAAATAAATACTTCAGATACATCTTCCTGTTCACTAATTGCCTTTCAACAGTGTCTATCATACTATTTTACTTGTATATTACATTTTTGCTGTCAGCGACTATTTTTCACTTCTAAATATTTTACTTTTTAAAAAGTAAATTCTGTCTTTGCATTCCTGAAAGTTTCTTATTGTATATTCATCTTTTTAAGTGTATTCTTTATTTCCTTAAGTATTTAATGCAGAGCTACTTAGCATTCACTACCTAAACATTTCAATATCCGCAAATCTTCAGGGTATAAAGGCATTTAATATATGGTTATCTATGTTGTGAGTTTATTGCTTAACTTCTGGGAGTCCAGTGGACTAAATTGGAGGAAGCTTTCCTTCAAAGAGAATCTCATCCTATTTCTAATGTAGCCAGAAAGCAGTCCAGTTCCAGACCACTTCTTTTTTTAATTGAACGCTTGCACTAGTAGGGGAGGAGTAGAGAGAGAGGGGGGCAGAAGATCCGCAGCAGGTCCCATGCTGACAGCAAGAGAGCCCCATGTGGGGTTCGAACTCACAAACCATGAGACTACGCCCTGAGTCAAAGTTGATGCTTAACCGACTAAGCCAACCAGGTGCCCCATGACTGCTGATACTGGGGATCATTTGGAGTCAGAGAGGGAAGCCCCAGATTCAGTTCCTATCTCATTGCTATTCCAAGTTTCCGTGTCTCTGAAATGCAACTGTAAGACTCCTATCTCTGAGTAATTCCACCAGCCCACAGAAGGAAGCTGCTGGCTAGCTCCCTGCTACAGGCTTCTGCATTTTTCTCCCCACTGTCCAGGATCTGACTCACCACATCTGTGGCCTATATTCTAGGCTGTCCCCACCCAGACTCACAGCTATTCCAGGCCTACATCATGTTTTTACATTTCATGGTTTGTTTCTTTAAGGACTGGTTCCTGGAGTTCCTTCCATTTTTAGAGCCATTTGTGATTCATACAGGGGGGAGCCATCTGAGTTTTGGCTGCTGTTGAGCCAGAAAATCACTCAGAGATCCTAGTTAATCATTATAATGGAAATGAGACCAAGGTGGCATTTGATATTAGTACCTTACATTCCAATCAAAATAAAGGCATATAAATTATCTTCTAATGACAGGTACATTGATTCATGTAGTCAACAAATATTCATTAAGGGTCTACAATGTGCTAGACACTGTTCTATACCCTGGAGATACATCAGTGAACAAAACTAAACTCCCTGTCCTAATAGAGCTTACATTCTACTATGGGAATAGGGTAGAATTATTATCATAAATGATAATCATGATAAATACATTATATAGTATCAGATAATAGGTTATTAGTGCTTAAAAAATTAGAAAAGACTAGGGTGACTGGGTGGCTCAGTCGGTTGAGTGTCTGACTGTTGGTTTTGGCTCAGGTCATGGTCTCACAGTGAGTTCGAGCCCCGCATCAGGCTCTGCACTGCTTGGGATTCTTTCTCTCCCTCTCTCATTGTCCCTCCTGTGCTCTCTCTCTCTCCTTCTCTCTCAAAATAGATGAATAAACGTTTTTTAAAAATTAGAAGGGAGAAAGTAGGTATGGAGGTTGACAGTGGCTTTAATTTTAAATACAATAGGCCTCATTGATAGGTAAGAAGGAGCAAAAGTTTGAAAGAGATAAGAAGGGATAGTTTGTGAAGAGCATTCCTAAAAGAAGAATCTGCCCATGCAAAGGCCCAAAGATCAGAACATGTCTGATGTGCGCTCAGGAAAGTAAATAGGTCAGAGTAGCTCAAGCAGAGTGAGCCAAGAGGAAGAGGAATTACAGGTGAGGCAGGAGATGTCATTGGGGCCCAGATCATGGGAGATTTCATGATACTTTTACTCTGATTGAAAAGGTGAATCATTGCAGGGTTCTGAATAGAGATGTTTAACCCTCACAATGCAGATAATAAAGTGAAAATAAGCAGTAAGCCCTTTAATAAAGTCTGTTGCAATAATCTAGGCAAGAGATAGTGAAGCTGGTTGGTATTTACGGAAACGATAAGAAGCAGTCTGATTCTGGATATATTTTGAAGGTTGTATTAATATCTATTGCTGTGTTGGCAAATTTCCTAAAATCTTAGGGGCTGGAAACAGCTAATATTTATTAGCTCATCGTTTCTGAGGACCAGAAATCTTGGAGCAGCTTAGCCTGATGGTTCTGGCCCAGGATGTCCCACAAGGATGCCAGCATCAAGGTTTGGGGAAGAGCTGTGGACATCTCCAGACCAATTCCTGAGCTCATACCCATGGCTGTTAATAAGCCTCTAAAGATCCCCTTCCAAGTTCATTCTCATGCTGTTCCTTTTTTTTTATTTGATTTATTTCAAAACCAATTGTACTGTAACCAAAAGAGAGGAATTAACTGTACATAATATATAAATATAAACACATGTGTATACATATATACATTTTAAGTTTAAGCTATAGAGAATAAAGTTTCTTTGGGCAGATAGTGTTATGCAACATTAAAGTTGCATACATCAGTAACATAACTCAACATCCTTAATTTGGTCTAAGTGTGACACATGTTCTTCATTTTCTGTGTTCTGCCAAATCACCATAACCCAAATTGCTTTATAAAACTGATATGCTGAAATTTGGCCTTATCGCTTTCACTTATGCTCTGAGTCCAAACCAAATTGTTATAAGCTTCTTCTGTCTCTGGGTCCATTTCATCATCACCATCATCCAAATATGGATCACCAGCTGCCGATTGGTCTATACCATTTTCTTCATAATCTGGAAAAAAGTCCTCTCTTTCAAGTAACTCTTGATACTTCTCTTGGTAATCTGGATCAGCTGCAGTAAAAGGAATAGCATCAGATGTATAAAATGTTGGTACATTCACAAAATAGTTGAGAGATCATTTCTAGGTGTTGCTTCTCTGTACATTGATGTTACATTAACTCTATCCTAGCTGCTTCACAACATGGCAGCCGGCTTTCACCAGAGTCCATGGCCCAAAAGAGAACATGAGAAGACACCAAAGATGGAAACCACAATCTTTTTGTAACCTAACCTCAGAAGCAATATCCCATCACTTCTTCATATTTGAGTCATTAGTAACATGTCAATAATTCCAGTCCACACTCAAATGGAAGAGATTATACCATGTCATGAATACCAGAAGAAAGGAATCATTGAGGGCCATTTTGTGCCTACAACACAGATAGAACAATAGGATTTTCTGATAGGTAGGATGTGGGTTGTGAGGAGAAAGAGCCAGGGATGACTGCAAGGTTTGGGACCTGAACTGCTGGAAGACTGCTGTCCCATCAGCCAAACTGGAGAAGTCTTGGCATGGAGCAGTTTTACCGGGGAAGATGGAAATTTAGTTTTGACATACGGAGCCTGACATGTCTATTAAATTTCCAGATGCAGATGTTAAGTAAAATATAGGAGTCTGGGGTTCAGGAGCTGGAGATAGGGGTGCCACGAGCTTACAGGTGGTCTTTGATGACATAAGGTCACTAAGGAAGAAGATGATAATCAAACTTAAAAATTATCACGCTGCGGGGCGCCTGGGTGGCGCAGTCGGTTAAGCGTCCGACTTCAGCCAGGTCACGATCTCGCGGTCCGTGAGTTCGAGCCCCGCGTCGGGCTCTGGGCTGATGGCTCAGAGCCTGGAGCCTGTTTCCGATTCTGTGTCTCCCTCTCTCTCTGCCCCTCCCCTGTTCATGCTCTGTCTCTCTCTGTCCCAAAAATAAATAAAAAAACGTTGAAAAAAAAATTAAAAAAAAAATTATCACGCTGCTCTTTTGGTCACATCTATTATGAATATATTTTTTTCAAGAACATAGAATTGTTTTTCATATGGCTCCACAATGAGACAATAGAAATTTTCAAAATAAAATTCAAAGATGGTCAGGTCAATTAAAAAAATTATTGTGTTGTTTGGTAAACCTTGACTAACTTCCTTTTTTTCCCACAGACGTATGTTATTTTAAATTAAATAAGCAGTTCTGAAAACAAATGTTGTGGGTTCTGTTTCTGGTTCTACCATTTATCAGCTGAGTAACCTGGCAAATGACTTAACCTGACTCTGCCTGAAGTTGCTTATCTACAAAATGGGAAGAGTGATAATGCCCACTTATAGGGGGATTTGGAGAATAAATTAGTTAATTTATGTAAAGGACCTGGAACAGTGCCCACTACATAATAAGCCTTATGTGATTTTAGCCATTATTTTTTTTTCCACTTTTGTTGATTTCCTTACTCAACCTTTAAGCTTCCTTTAAACTTTTGGTCAAAAATCCTTCACTGGTTTCCAAACATCCAACTCTGAGCATATCATAATTTTATAGCTTCTGCTGAACAACACAAAGCAGGTAACATTCCTCTGGAAAGCCTCCATCTAACTTTTCTTTCTTCAAGGCCAATACTCTCAAAATTCTTCAGCTCTTTATTCTGCAGAGAAATTTAGGGACCATCTTTTGTTAATAAATATACCTTTGGGATCTTGTCTTCCACTCTAAGTGGGTTTTTAAGGTGTTTCTTCCGCGGAAAAAATACACAGCTCTTCTGAATGGCATTCTGTTGAATACAATGTTTTCTATCTTCGACTATTGGCTTCTATTATTTATGTCCATTACTCCTTCCTTTTATGTTTCACGCTGGGTGTTTTCATGACTGCATACATGTCCCAGTCAAAAGAGGTGATGATCACCTGCAATTTTTTCTCCTTCCCACCTTCTTGGCACCTCTTCCCACCTGTACTGAGACTTCGCAGCCTCAGACCTGCCAGGGCTCAGAGATTCTGACTCTCCTGATCCGGCAAGAGTGGATGCAAGTGCTTGGGGACACAACCAATGCTGAAAAGGGAAAGGTGACAAAGAGCAATGGAAGTGAGTCAAAAAGACATGACACAATGCCATTTAGCTGGCTAAAAATGTCTATTGCACATCTAGCAGAAAGCTGCTTTCAGAAACCCATCTTTATTCTCACTAGCCTGATTTCCCATGATCTTCCTTTAAGAAACTCACAGCAAAGGGGCCTGTAGGAGAAAGAACTGAAGCCACACTCCTCAGACTAAAACATACAGTTCAGAGATTCCAGGCAGGTGAACTTTGTTTTTGATGTGTTTATTCTCTGACATGCCTGTGCTGTCTGCAGCCCCCTGCCCCTGCCCCTGCCCATGGCCGCCCCGCCTCCAGAGTAGGGAAAGGCATTCCCTCCACAGAGGAGAGTCCCAAGCAGTTTTTTAAGAAAGCCTAGAGACAGTGATGATTTTATACAATGCCCTTGTACAATGACAAAATAAATTAGGACAAACTATGGAACTAAATGTTAAAAAAAACGAACAAGACAATAATAATTAGAAAAAAAACCAAGAAAATCATCAATCATAAAGGAACAGATTGGTAGATTTGATCTATATAACTTAAGACAAAAAAAAAAAAAAAGGTAAGTGATATTGACCAGAAAAGAAATGGTTACACCTGTGTGACCAGCAGAGCACTAATATACTTGTTATGAAAGAAACTTTCATATTTTAATAAACAATGACAAAGACTAAGAAGTAATGGAAAAGCTGGTGATTCACAAAGGAAACTTTCAAATGACTAATAAACATATGAAAAGCATAAACTTCACTTACAATTAAAGAGTGTAAATTACTTTAATAGATACATCATTATAACTCATAAATTTGGTGATAATTGCTTTTCTAAGATGATTCCTATTGTTGGCAGGGTGTGAGAGAAAGGAGCACTCTAATTCTCTGTTGGGGAGTGAAAATTAGAATAATGTTTTTGGAAAGCAATTTGGCAAAATGTAACAAGATTGTCCCAAATGTCTCAAAAATGTTCTTATATTTTGATTTGCATCTGTCCTTTTATCATGAGGGAATCAGAGATGTGTTAAAAAAAAAAAAAAGTATAAGGATTTTCACTAGTTTTATCTGTAATAGCCCAAAGTTGCAAACCACCACATGTACGAGAAAAGAAGAAATTAAAATACATTACAGGGAAATGGTATTTTGACACTCAAAAAATAAGAATACAGGGGCGCCTGGGTGGCTCAGGAGGTTGAGCATCCCACTCTTTATTTCATGTCAAATCATCTCTCAATTTGTAAGATCTAGCCCCGCATTGGGTTCGGTGCTGACAGTGCAGAAACTGCTTGGGATTCTCTCTCTCTTTCCCTCTGTCTCTGCCCTTCCCCTGCTCATGCTGTCTCTCTCTCTCTCTCTCAGAATACATAAACATGAAAAATAAAATAAAATAAAATAAAATAAAATAAAATAAAATAAAATAAAATAAAATACAACACCTCTAGACTGGATATAGAAACTTTGAGCTATTTTAACTTGATAAATTAAAATTATCCAACTCTCCCCTTCTGCTTTGGTTCTAGACTTGTAAAATCTGAGTCAAACTTGTTGGGTGTTTATTTAAATTTCCTTTTGTAATTCGCTTCTAGGGAAAGAATGCTTTCAATTTGGAATGTGGGATTAGTATTGGACCCATCTGATTTATACTAAGTGATTAAAGTTATTCAATCGACAATTTTTATAAAATGAAATTAAGTTTTCCCAAAATCTATTTATTGATATGAGGAAGTATCTAATTTCCTCATACTAATACTGCAAGAAAAAGCAAGACAAAAATCAATATTTATAGTACAATCTTGATTATGTTAAATATTTACTCAGCAATCATTGAATATTCAACGAGTGCTTAATAAGCTCCCATCATATGCCAGGCAACTCATAGGTACAGAGGATACGTAGGGGTGGGGAAGGAGAGAGCAGATTGAACCATCTGCCCTCATTGAGCTTGCAAGCTATAGAAAAAGAAACTTCATTAATAAACAAACATGTAAAATATAAGTATGTCGAATTTCAGTAAGTGCTGTAGGGCAGAATAAGTCAGAAAAGAAAAATAGGGCATACCATATGTGGTAGAAAGAACGTAATTGAATTTTAAAATGGTTAATCAGAAAAAAATGTTTAGATGACCTAACAGTTGTATGATTGTGAGAGGGTGAGCCCTGTCTATGAGAAAGCCTTGTATGCAGATGGAACAACATGCACAAATGCGTTGGGTGAGAGTTTTCCAATAGGTTCCATAAACAGCATGGAGACCACTGTGGCTGGAGCCGAATGAATGAGGAGAAAGATGTTCAGATCCTTTAGAGCCCCGGAGCACTTGGGAAAGAATCTTCCTTTTACTCTCGATGAGATCAGGAGCTCTTTAAAGATCCCAAGCTAAGTCATGGCACTGACTCAGTAGGCTTGCATTTTTAAAAGATTCCCCCTCTACTACGTGGCAATGAGAAAAAATGAAATATGGCCTTTTGTAGCAACGTGGATGGAACTGGAGAGTGTTATGCTAAGTGAAATAAGCCATACAGAGAAAGACAGATACCATATGGTTTCACTCTTATGTGGATCCTGAGAAACTTAACAGGAACCCATGGGGGAGGGGAAGGAAAAAAAAAAAAAAGAGGTTAGAGTGGGAGAGAGCCAAAGCATAAGAGACTGTTGAGAACTGAGAGCAAACTGAGGGTTGATGGGGGGTGGGAGGGAGGAGAGGGTGGGTGATGGGTATTGAGGAGGGCACCTTTTGGGATGAGCACTGGGTGTTGTATGGAAACCAATTTGACAATAAGTTTCATATATAAATTTAAAAAATAATAAATAAATTTAAAAAAATAAAAAAATAAATAAAAGATTCCCTCTGGTTTCTGGGTTGAATACACATGAGAGAGGCAAAATTGGATGTACGCTAGAAGAAAAGGATGAGGTTCAAAGGTGAATCCAAGGATCTGACCTGAACAACAGGAACAGTGGTGTTGCC